AAAAACACACCTGCTTTTGCTCCGGGAGTCATGGATTGTGACAGGAACCAGACAGAGCCTGCCTCTGAAATCAGACCACAGAGTAACTGTTAGCGCTGCATCTCAAATGCCTTCCTGAGCGGGAACGTGGCGCACAAGCTGCTGCATTTCCCTGGCTGGAAGAGCGCTGTGTGTGAGCCGGATGGAGGAGCACAGGAAGCCTACATGAGCCCTCCAGACTGCCTGGGTCTTGCTCCTTCCAAGCTGACTGTGGGTGCCTGCCTTGTCACTATCATAGGTCTTAGTCTTGGGTTGGTGGTCACCTTCCATGAATGGGACAAAATGCCTGGTTTAAAGGAAGAAAGGCTTGTACTGGCTCACAGTCATAGGAGGCTCAGTCCATGGTCAGCTGGCTGCAAGGCAGAGGAGCATGGGAAGAGCAGGGCGTGGAAGCCAAGAGGAGCAAGGGGAAGAGACCAGGGCCACAATACACAAAAGGCTCGACTCTACCTCCCAGGAAGCCCTCTGTGTTAAGAATTCAACCCCTGGTGAAATTAGGAGCCCTCAGGATCCAATTAGTTCCTCAAAACCCATCAGCTGACAACTAGCCCTCACTACTAGGGACTTTCAGGGAACATCATGATCCCAACTCATAAAAAGGTGAACATGGCTACATGCTGAGTCCTGAAAATCCCTTTTGGGACTTTCTCAATCTAGGGGTGGGTGGTCCTTGGGTACCCTGAGAGCCAAGCACTCCTGTACCTCCCCAAAGTATTTTATTTTTAGTCATGAAAAAATGCTTACAAAATTTATCACCTTCACCATCATGATGTGTATGTTTCAGGGTATTAATATTCACCTTCTTGGGCCAGGAGATAGCTTAGAGGCTTAAGTGCCTGCCTGGCAAACGCAAGGTCTTGCTTGAGTTCAATCCCTGGTACTGACAGATTTTTTTTTTTTTTTTTTTTTTGGTACTGGGGATTGAACTCAGGACCTTACACTTGCCAGGTGGTGCTTATGCCACTAAGTTATCTTCCTAACCCCAATCCCTGGAGCTGAAAAAGAAAAAAAAAAAAAATTCACCTTCTTCTACAAGCTTCCTCAACATCCATCTATGTAACTTGCAATACTGAAACTGTACTCACTGAACATGGACTCCCTATTTCTCCATCCATCTCAGCCCACCATTTTACTTCCTTTTTTTTTTTATATGGGTTTGATACAGGTCTCACTACATAGCTCGGACTTGTAGTGATCCTCCTGTTTTCAGCCTCCCCAGCACTGAGATTACAGGCATGCACCACCACACCGTCCTGGTGGCCGGCTGATCACACCCAGGGGCAGGGCTGGCACGGCACATGCTGGGGATCAAACCCTGGTCCCTGCGTGGGCAAGCACGTAGTCTGCTGAGCTATCTCACCAATGCCTTTCTTCGTAAATTTGATGATAACACCTCCATATATATGCGGGGTCACATGATATTTACCTTCTTGGGGCCACTTCACCTAATATCCTGCATGCAGGTCTACCTGTGTTGCAGCATGTGGCAGAATTTCCTTCCTTTGAGGAGATGAACTGTACCCCACCGTGTGGTCCATCCCCCTTGCTTAGCCAAGCTGTCTCCACCGACACTTGGCTGGCTACTTTGAATAACATGGCTGTGGACACAGAACATAAGTATATGTTCCAGTACGGGCTTTCAATTCTTTTGTGAACATACCCACAAGTGGAACTGCTGGATCCGGTAATCCTGTTTTTAGTGTTTTTTGAGACAATGACTATTTAAGGCTGAACAATATTCTATCACCTGGATAAACTGGCTTTCGTGTTTCCATTCATCCACTGATGAACAACTTGTTCCCACTTTTCGGCTGTTGTTAATAATGCCACTCTGAACATGAGTGTACAAACATCTCCTCGAGTCGCTGCCTGCCGTTCTTCTGAGTATGCACCCAGAAGGGGAACTGCTGAATCACATGGTGGTTTTATTTTTAGACTCCCTGAGGAACTGCCATCCTCCTTCCCACAGCAGCTGCACCATCTTACATTTCTACCCACAGTGCACTTGGGCTCCTGGCTCCCCACACCCTCACCCCCTTGCCAACAAGTTACCTTCTTTCAAGTTTTCCTGTTTATTAGCGGCCCTAATTGGTGTGAGGACTCCAAATTATTTTTTTTTTCCAAATTAATTTAACAATGTATTAGAACTCATTTGTATCTTTAAGCGTAAAAACCCACAGGGGATTTATTCAAAGTTAAGAAAAGACAAGCCAGCCAACCTACAAAAACTGCCAGAGGAAAGGAGCCATTTCTATATGAACAGCTAGAGCCTAGATTTAAAGATTTGGAAATCTTTTTTTTCTTATTTTGGTACTGAGGATGGCACTCAGGACCTTGAGACATTTTTGTTTTTGTTTCTTGAGACAAAGTCTCCCCAGATAGACCTTGAACTTACTATGTAGCAGACCTTGAAATTTATGGCAATCCTCCTGTCTC